ATCTGATGCTTTTTTGACAGTGAATGTTCCTTGAAGATAAAACTGTTTGATCTTTCCCTATTAAGCAAAAACGAGCTCTTGATTATTGCAAAGATTATGTATTATGTGTTTTTAGTGAAAGATATCAAGGAAACATAGGTCTTCTATTTTAAGATGACACAGGATGGAGTTTAGTTCTACAGTATTCTGTGTCAACTTCCTGACCTAATAATTCAGGTTCTTTTTTCTGCATAATCCTGAGTGTTTATAGGGAGGAATTACTTAGTCACTCCATTCTTCTTCAGAAGATTTAGACTAATTTGTTTTAAAGTCCCTTCTGTGGTTCTTTTTTTTGAGAGGGGGAGGGGGTTCTTTCATGCTTGGTTAAGTCTGTGAATCCAAAGATTAAGAAACTGAAGAATCCCAACACTGAGCTTTTCAGAAAGTCCCAGGTGTCTTTCTGCAGAGAAGAAATTTTGCCAGACTGAACTCATCTGAAAATTACAGTGCATAATCATCACCACTGAGCAGGCCCTGTTCAAAATGCTGCTAGCAGGGAATCTGAAGTAAGATCTTAATGAGATTGTCAAAAACCATACCCCAAATCTCCAATTCTTCTAAATCTCTTTTTCCAGTTCAAAAAGTTCAGTAACAGCCTGTGAGTTATGCTGAGAAGCAAACTGAAAACCATAAAGATAGCTAAGATGTGGGTAATACGTTCAGGCAGGAATGTGATCAGTATCCATCTTCCACAGAGAATGAAAGGTGGTTCTTTTCCTTAGTATGCATAATGAGGACAAGATTTCCTTAAGTAAGGCTTGGTCTGAAGAGTCATGTATGAAACAAAAGAGGGAGACTGTAAGTTTGGGTGTTTTCTTTTGTGCTGCTACCCTTATGAAATGCAATCTCTGGTGGCCGACCATGGCATTCTGTTTCCTAATCCTTACAGCTTTGGTTAAAATGTGACTATTTAACTGAACATTTGGGAGCACTGAAAGACAAACCTGGTTGTTTTAAAGGACTCTCCCCACTCCACCAGTGAGCTTCCTAGATGGCTTAAGTGATGATATAGATGCAATAGGCTTTGGTTTCCCTCCAAGCCAGCTTTAAGATTGGGCACAGTGTCAAATGAGTAAGGCTAAGCAGCAACGGTAGCCATGTCTTTTTTTCCTCAAAGTGCCTCTTCTCTGCAGAGCTCCAGAACAGTTTAATAAGGCCAAGGAATTTGTCTTTGCTACTTATCCCCATTCTCACCTCTTAGTAAGCTTGTTGCAGACCCATCTGTGCATTCCTTCTGAGCAGAAGTAGAGCAAGTTGCACCTCTAGAGTAGCTGTGTTTTCTTTTTTTCCAAGCCCTAATGTCATCAGGACATAAAGAAAAGGCATAAGGAACAATATCAAGACATAAATCAAGCTGTCTTTAGTTAGGTCCAGAGCAGACAATTCCTATGTAACAAGTGGTATGCAGAATTATCTGGAGGAAAGGAGAACAAGATTGCTGTCTCCTCCTTGCCCTGAGCTTTTCTAGTGCATCAGGGCTACCAATTCTTACACCAAAATGTAAAGAGGGGGCAAAGGATTCTTGTACTTGTTAGACCTGCTCTGTGCTAAAGCCGGAGTTATCTGATAGTGGTATTGAATGTTTACAATCTGTAACAGATCTTTAGAAACCATTCTTTATTGCTTTAATGTCTATTTTATTTGTAACTGATAGAAGTTTTATATTGTTTTGGTCAAGGAAGAGTTGAGAAATGAATGGCATAAAGAACAATCGAGCTGTCTTTAGTGAGGTCCACAGCAGACAATATAGTGCTTATTTAGTTTTCATTGAATTGTATATCATCATCCTTAAATAATACAAGCAGGATTCATTAGGGGTGCTTGCAAACGAGGATGCTGTGCCAGTTTAAAAGCCATTGCAGACCAATTTGGGGTCTTTGGGTTCTGTAAAGAGAATGAGGGCTTGCTGGTTTTGCAGTTCCTCTCTGCCCCCAGTAGCACAAACAAAACCAGTATGGATGAATTTACCCAGTGTTTCCAGGAAAGCAACCAGCCTGCAATGGCCAGCCTACTTTTTTTTCTTTACTCCTCCTCCCCTTTTTTCCCCTCCATTTGTGGGGGGTGGAGGGTGAAGTTTTGTTGTTGTTATGATGAAACCTGTAGCTGCTTAGACTGGGGCGACATTTGCTGCTTGTTCTAGCCAACAGATGTGAAGACAATCACAAATCAGATCCAAACTGTTTTGGAGGATTTAGGGAGTGAAAATAGTGGTAGTAGAAAAGTGTTCACCTTTTGTTTTTGGCAGTCGGGAACCTGTAAGATATTTTTACTGTTAGCAATTTGTGCCACCCTTCTACAGTATATCCCACAAGATAATTCATATGCAAGATACATAATGACACCTGTATTCTTGACATCATTTAACCTACACCCGTCTAAATGAATATGGTCATTCTCCCACCTGGCTTGAGGAGAACAGGACTGCTTTCAGGAGTACGTCTCAGTTCTTTTAAAAATTGCTTCTTGTAGTTAAGTTCCAACTAATGTAGTTCTGATTGGTGATGCCACCTTAATGCCATTTATTGATATGTTCTCTTGTTCTTTCATTCACACCTTTATGTTGTCCACTGATTTCAGCTGTGTTGATAAAAGGAGATGGGAACCACAGTGTTATGGTGATACAGATCTTTCTTGACTGGTTTCATGAGAATGTAGAAAGCCGTTGTCTTTGACCTTCCTCTGAAGACACAGACAGAGGGCACAGGCTTTGTCACTACAACCACAAAGTTAACTCTTCTTGTCTTCTCATATTGCACTGTGGACCCATTAATTGCCTGATTTTAGAGCTCAGCGGTGCTTTGAAGACCTCCTGATTTGCGGTTAGCATTGCAAATGGTGGCCAACAGAAATGCCTCACCTCCAAAAGCTAACCCAATTGCTTTGAGTGCTTTATTTTATTAATTTATCTAATTTAAGAGTGCTGCTTCGAGATTTGTCTTTCTACCTTCCACCTCAGAATCACTGAATGGGACCCCATACCCATTTTGGCCAGCTAGTGTTAGTGAGTTCCCATTCATTTTACTTACTTGAATTCAGTTGCTTTGACATCATCATCCCATCACAGTTAAACAATTAATAATCTCTTTGAACTTCAAAGGAGAAAAGTTCAGCAAATGCTTGATTTTCCCATTAAAACCAATGGGAGCTAAAATTGCTCAATTGTGTTTGGATCATGCCCAAAAGGCATTTGTGCATGTATTACCAACAGAGCTTTGCCTTATAGTGTCATAAATAGATGTTATTAAGAAAGTATCTCCATTAGTACTATGTTTCACAAGACTGGTTTTAAGAGGTAGTTGTAGCTGAGCAAATGCCGAGGGTTAGTTTATGTGGCATGGAATAAAAGCGGAAAATTAAAGAAAGTGTTCAGGATTCAGGTAATGCAATATTATGACAAGGATTCAGAGAAAATGTTGTTTTGCCCATTCATAATTAATAGAGAGCATGCCCACCCAATAAAGGAACTTTTGGGTCTCACCAATATGTATTATTTCTTATTTATTTATTTATTTAAACACATTGGATGCCCAATGATATATTTCATTCTGCTACTAGAAGCCGTGATCCCTATCAGCATCTCACTTGAGCTGTGCCTTGCCTTAAAAACAAAGAAACAAAACAGCTTGAATTTTTCCAAGTTTGTGTTGTGCAAAGTGGACTGTATTTCTAACATTTGCTTTATAAAATTGGGGAAATCAGATCTACCTTTTAAAGCAAATCTTTCTGATGGTCTGCTTAGCTGCTTTTCTCCTGTAAACATGGCAGGATATTGAAGCCTCTGCTAGGATACACTGGCTCACGCTTAGACAGAGGGAAGGGTCCACTGATGGATGGAATGATGCAGGCAACAGAAAACATCCACAGAGGTTTAACATCTGGGTTTCCAACCCTCCCCCTTCCCATAATTATATCTTAAACCTATTAAAAATGCTATTTAGATGTTAGAATTGAATTTCTCTTGATTCTCTCGAGTTCATTTTCAATGAAAACAATTGTCTCCTCTCCTCTCCTCGTTCTCCCTCTCCTACTCCTTCCTTTACATTTTATTCTTCTTTCTTACAATAATTCCTGAAATGATTTGCAGTAACGTTTTGTTATTGTCCGTTAATGTACTGTTTCGTATTGGCGTCATTTCCTCTTAACTTTGGAATATTATTTGGTTTGTTTTATTTGAGTGCAGAAGGATTGTGCTAAACTAGAAGTTTATAATCAGCAAAAACACCGATCCATTAATCATGATCATAACAATGACGATGAGTCACAGCGTGAACCTTTTACCTTTTACTTAAGGTAAAAACTGTTGTGCTATAGAATTTCACCAAAAGTTGCAATAACAACAGCAACAACCTTAAAGCATTTGTTTGTTTTGCTATTACTCAAAATGTCCATCTCCATTTAAATAAATCTCATCCTTTGTCAGTTAGCCACCTTGATTTCATTCTATGTGCTCCTATGGTAACATCTCATTTTGTGATCAAGGGTGACGTGATGCGTTCTGAGTTGTGCTGAAGGTCTTTGCATAGTTTTAATGTATTGCCACGTTTAAAATCAAGGCTCAAAAATTTTAAATTTTTCCTTGATCGCTCAGATTGGGTATTTAAACAGGAAATTCAGGTTCATTAGCAAAGTGCCGTCTGGCAGTTTTTGATGTTTTATTTCTGACTATACATACCTAAACTTTGCAGCACCGCACCGATTTCTGTTTTTCAAAAATACAACTTCGGTAAAAAAGATTATTTTTAAAAAGTCAGGAATATCAAGAATGTCTTCAGTCAGTATCCTGTTTCTCTTCTTTCTCCTTGAGTTTTAAACTAATCTCTTTTCACTAACTTCAGTAGGGTCTTTACTGAACCTAAAGAAAGTAAGACTATGTGAGTGGAACTGGGTGTGTGTTCTTGGCTATTTCACCTGTATTCCATGGCGGAGCTGGTCATAACCTCATAAGTTGCCTGTGTTTCTAGTTGAAGACGAGCAACTGGCAACCCTCTCGCCCAAAAAGAAGCAACGAAATGGAGGCATGAGAAATTCACCCAACTCTTCGCCCAAACTGATGAGGTAAGATCCTAAATAGCTCATATCTTTATCTCCTCTCCTAATGACAACAACCTTGTCCCCCCCCCCCCAAAAAAAAAAAAAAAAA